GGAAGGGAGTTCCACAACTTTACCACTCTAAGCTCAAACTGTGAAGGGGATTCTTTTCTGTTAAACCCTTTTTCTTCCAATTTCAGGTGGCCTCTTGTTTTCTTAAGTTTACAGTAAATGGTTTATTGTTGATATTACTATCATCTTTAAACAATTTGTACATTACAATCATGTCCCCTCTTAACTGCCTCATTTCCAGAGTGAACAAGTAAAAATTTTGCAATCTTTCCTCGTACTTCAGGTCCTCCAGCTTCTTTATCAGTTTCATTGCCCTTCTCTAGACTCTCTCCAGTTCAAGGACATCCTTGCTGTGGACTGGTGACCAGAATTAAAACGCATACTCAAGATGAGGCCGAACCAGTGTTTAGTAAAGTGGCAAAATGATTGTTTTGTCTTTAGAGTACATTCCCTTTTTTATGCATGAAAGTAGTCTGCCAGCTTTATTTGCTGCACCCTGGCATTGCATGCTATTGCCAAGTCTGTTAAGTCTGCAGACCCCCAGATCTTTTTCCACATCCGACTTCCCCAGTGGAGCTTCCTTTAACGTGTAGTCTGCATGCCTATTTTTACACCAAAATATATTACTTTACATATTTCAATATTGCCATGTTGTTGCCTAATCTCCTATTTTATCCAGGTCCTCCTGTTATCTTGCTATGTCTAACCCCAGGTTTATTAAAATGAAAATTTTCATGTCCCATCAATAATAAACAAGTTAAACAGTATTGAGCCTAACACAGAACCCTGCGCACACCACTGCACACCTTAGACCAATTAGAAACTGAGTCATTTATTGCTACTCTTAGGACCCCTTCCTGCAGAAAGTTATGTATCCCTGTACACACCATTTTATCGATGCCTATAGATTGTAGCTTGTATATTAAATGTTAATGCAGTACTGTATCGAATGCTTTTGCAAAATCTAGTTAAACTATGTCCTACTGGCTTTCCTCCATCTAGGTTGCTACTCCCCTCCTCATAGAATGTTAACAGGTTGGTCTGACAAGAATGGTCTTTCATAAATCCATGCTGGTTGTCACTTATGATGCCATTACCACAAACAAAATCTTGCAAATAGTCCTTCATTATTCCCTCAAACAATTTGCATACTATTGATGTTAATTGGTCTGTAGTACTCAGGTAAGCATCCTAAACCTTTTTTGAATATTGGTACTACAATTGCTTTATGCCAATCAGTTGGCACCCTTCTAGTCAGTATGAAGTCCATGAAAGCTAGGAACAATGGTCTTGCTATACCTTGGCTGATTTCTATAAGTACCCATGGGTGTAGGTTATCTGGTCCTGAGGATTATTCGCATTAAGTTTTTCTAGTCTTTGTTGAACCCTGGCTTCCGCCAACCACTGCAGTATATTAAGCACAGGGCTACTCACGTTCTTGCTATATCTATTAAACCCATCTTTTTTCTTGAATATATACTGAGGAGAAGAATGCATTTAATGTCTCAGCCTTCTGCTTGTCATTTATGATTAACCTCCCGTGCTCATCTTTTATGAGATCTACCTGTTCTTTTCTTACCTCTTTACTGATTATTTAATGGAAGAATTTTGTGGGGTTCTTCTTACTGATTGTGGCAATATGTTTCTTGTATTCTATTTTAGTTGCCCAGATTGCACTTTTACACCTCTTATTGAAGTCCTTGTAGTTCTGGAATGCCATTGCTGTCCCTTCCATCTTATTCATATTAAATGTCAGCTTCTTCTCATTGATATGTTATTTTACCGTCGGATTTAGCCATGCAGGTTTAACTCTTCTTTTATTGTTGGTGCCCAAAAGGTATGCACTTGCAAATTCCATTGTTTAATATATTCTTAAAACAATTCCACTTACTCTCAGTGTTCTTTGTTAGAAAAAACTGGTCCCATTTGCTATCATACAGTAAGTAACATAGCTTATCAAAGTTTGCCTTTTTTAAGTTTAGCATTCTTGTCAAACCAACATGCTTCTCTTTTCTTCACATATGACCATGTACCCTACTTTAAATGCAATCACCTTATGATCATAGCTACCCAAGTTTTCTCAAGTTGCTATGTCTGCAACTAGATCCATATTTGAAATTATTAAATCAAGTATAGCATTCATCTTAATTGGGACTTCCACTATCTAATCCATGAAATTGTCCCACAATAGATTTAGGAAACTGCAAGCTTTGGTTGCGTGAATGATTCCTTTAGGCCAAAGAACGTTCTAACTGGAGGGAGTTGAGAGAAACGGTACAAAAGTAATTAGAGGGCTTAAAGCCCTGAGCATTCAAAATCTTAACTTATTCCCCTTAGAAAGAAGTGATTAAGAAGGGACTTTATTGCAGTATTCAAAATCATCAATGGGGACCACAGTATTTGGAACAAACTGTTTAATCCCAAAACTGTATTGAGGACCCGGGGACACAACAAGAGGTTAGAAGCAGGGGCGTCCCGAGGCTGGGTGACACCCGGAGCAGTAACCGAGTGTCACCCCGCCGAGACGTCACTGCGCGTGTGCGTGACGTCATTGCGCACGCGCGGCAGTATTCTGATACCTGGCGATGGACGCCGGCAGAGAGAGGAGGGGACATTCACCCGGCGGGATAAGGTATGCTGCTGGGTCCCCTCCTTTCTCCTGATACTGTCGGGCGTTCGGTCCATGACCGTGCGCCCGACTTTTCAGAGGGGGGTGACACCAAAATGACTGAGTCATTTTGGTATCACCCCTCCAATGGTGTCACCCGGGTGCAGGCCGCACCCCCCTTGTGACGCCACTGGTTAGAAGAGAGGGTGTTCAATCTTAGAATTTGTAGGGGGTATTTCATTGTGAGAGTAGTGAAAGTTTGGAATTCTCTACCACAGGCAGTGGTATCTGCGGATAACATTGATAAATTCAAGAAACTTCTGGATTAGTTTCTTCTTTCGCAGAATCTACATCTCTAATATGGGAAGTGTTAGAGCAAGATAAATACACACACACACACACACACACACACACGTTGAACTGGATGTACCTTGGTCTTTATTCAACCTTACATACTATGTTACTATGTAATGCCAGGGTAATTGAAGTCTCCCATTATAAGAACTTATCCCTGTTTCCCAACTATTTCCATTTGTGAATGGAGTTGAGTCTCCTTTTCTCCCATTATGTTGGGGGGTCTATATCATACATCCACAATCAGTTTACAACTAGCTTCTGTCTTTTGGTAGTTCTAGCCACAAAGACTTTGCACCATCATAACTCTCGTTACTAAGGTTGTTTTGCATTTCACAAGCATATCCCTCTCCCCCTTTACCAACCCTGTCCCTGTGAAACAGGTTGTACCCTTGTATATTACCTGCCCAGTCATGTGAGCTGTCCAGCCAAGTTTCTGTTATTCACACAAACTCGAAGTCCTCCTCGAGAAGCATTAGTTCAAACTCCTACAATTTGTTTGTTAGACTTCTAGCATTTGTTTCCATACCTTTTAATTTGGTGCTAGTGCTATGAGATTTATTATTGCTCATTCCTGAATCGCAAGCATTTTCTGTATGTGGAAAATGAGACGAGAGGCTTGCAGTCATCTGTCACAGCTGAAATGTAATGCTACATCTATTCCACGCGTTCAATAAACAAGAGAACAAATCACAACCAAATATTTGGTTTAACAAAGTCAAAGTGAGGATCAGGTGAAGGGCAGATACTGCCATCAAGACCATAGCTCTAGGAAGGGCTTCCAAACAGCTTATTGATTAGATTAAAGACAGGCATGTCCTTTACCAGAATAGTACTCCCCTTCTTAAGGCAGAACACAACCCGGTCCAGTCAGAATAGACTACTTATGCACAGAATCCTCAAACAAAATGGATACAAGGCTGACAAACACTTGGGGAGCAAACAACTTATCAGGATGCTTACAATTTCCAAAGAGAAATAGTTTAAAAAGCTTGTGCAAATGGAAAGTCTTTGTGGCCTTATGAGGTTTTTTTTAATAACTCAAGGCTGGAAACAGCACAGGTAGATGCAACAGCTGATCATCTACTTTCAAGAGTGGTGCACATTACATCAGTAAGAGCTGAAATGCTATCCTTTAATTATGGAGTATTTGCCTTAAATGGTGACTCCTCAGGGGTAAACTCATCAGTCAAGTTCTAGAGCAATTTAGAATCAGAGCCTGCAGCTGATGGCTTGGAAGCCGCATAGACAGTGGGCAAACCAGATATAGAATCTGCTAGAGAGGGCATGAAAGTGCACTTATGGCCTTTGAGATCAATGACATAAAGTAACTAGGTGATTTGGGCAATAAAGCCTTGCATGTTCGTGGTAAAAACTTCAATACTAAAATGGTCAGAGAATCCAGCTACACCCATGCTAAAGTGGACTTCAAGGATGCAATAGACTGCAAGAGCAGAGGGAGACATGACTCTAGGTTGCAGATGTTGGCACCATAAGTTGGTGTGGTACAAGCAGCACTGGAGCTGTTACATGAAAGTGAGCTGGGGCACTCAGTACAGTGGGGGTGTACCCTCTGTGTCTAAAATCAGACACATTGTGAATGCATGGTGGTAAGACAACATATAGGCTCATGGTAGGAGGCAAGGCCACAAGTACTCACGAAATTCCACATGGTTCTTGCAAGCAGGAGTAGCGGGGAGATGCTTTAACAACATCGTATGGTGGGAAAGAGCACAGAGCGCGTATGAGCAGGGGTAGCTTGTAAATGACCTTTGAGCGCTGGGTTCCACCCTATATGGAACCCAGTGCCCAAAGGTCACTTACATGCTACAGCAGGTACTGGCTCTCCTAGGATACTAGCAAAAACCAAGCATGCTGGTAGTAGTAGGGATTATCTTGGTCTGCAAGTATAACCTGAAGGTTGAAGACTTCCTGTATTCCTTAATGGACTTCAAGAAAAAGATTTTACGATGAATACAAAAATCCTATTTTATTGAACAGTTCCTAATTTCTATATCCCTCAATGGACGAGAAGAAAACTTTTTTCAACAATTATGTAATGCAAGCAAAATTAACTTACCATTGACAAAGCTGTTAATCAACCAAGAATACCAGCTGTAAAAGCAAAATATAACAAAAAGGTTGATTGTATCATTAACAAGGAATTCTCAAAGCCTGAACGCTCCATTTAAAATGTAAATGTACAGTTTAATAAGCAGATGTGGAAAAACATAAGAGAAAATCACCTATATATCAATTGCCAACAAAGTAATTTGTTATCAATAAAATCTTTTAATTTTAAAGCTTGCATGAGTTTTTCATTAGGATCTAGAAGTATAGGTTTCCCGGTATTTTGCAATCCAGTTACATAAATTTGCACTTTTTCTGTTGGTTTAGTAAATACAAACTTTTAAATTGAGTCACTACAGTAGAAATAAGCACTCCTCAGAAATGGTAAAAAGAAAACCAGAAAAAGGCTTGGGAGCTACCCGTTTACCATTTACTGCCTCTTCCAACTGATTTAGATCCAATATAAAAAAAAAAGGAAGGACAATTTACCATGGGCGTAGCACCAAGTAAAAAAAAAAAAATACAGCGCATTTATACAGTGTGGAAAATAATTATTTGATCCCCAGCAGATTTTGTGAGTTTGCCCACTTACAAAGAAATGCAAGGTCTATTATTTTTTTTTCATAGGTGTATTTTAAATGACAGAGACAGAACATCAACCAAAAAGCCAGAAAAAACACATGATACAAATGTTATAAATTGAGTTGCAGTTCAGTGAGTAAAATAAGTATTTGATCCCCTACCAACAAACAATAATTCTGGCTCCCACTGGGTGGCTACATTTAGATTAGTCCTGTCAATTTAAGAAGGTGTGCCCAATGACAACTCGTTCTGTATATAAAAGACACCTGTCCACAGAATCTCTTCCATTCAAACCTCACCACCATGGGCAAAACCAAAAAGCTGGCAAAGGACGTTGGGGACAAGATTGTAGAACTGGAATGGCTGGAATGGGCTACAAGACAACTTGTAGAAAACAACTGTTGGAACGATTATTCGCAAATGGAAGGAATACAAAATAACCAATCTCCCTCGGTCTGGAGATCCATGCAAGATTTCGCCTCATGGGGTAAGGATGATCATGAGAAAAGTGAGGGATCAGCCCAGAACTACATGGGAGAGGCTTGTGAATGATCTCAAGGCAGTTGGGTATACAGTCACCAAACAAACCATTGGTAACACAATACACCACCATGGATTGAGATCCTGCAGCGCCCACAAGGTCCCCCTCCTCAAGAAGGCACATGTGCAGGCCCGTCTGAAGGTTGCTAATGAACATCTAAATGATTCAGAGACGGATTGGGAGAAAGTGCTGCAGTCAGATGAGACCAAAATCAGGCTCTTTGGCTTTGACGACTTGCCGTGTTTGGAGGATGAAAAATGCTGACTATGACACTAAGAACACCATCCCTACAGTCAAGCACGGATGCTTCATTATGCTTTTGGGCTGTTTCTCAACTAAAAGGTACAGGCCGACTTTGCCGCATTGAGGGGCCAATGGAAGGGGCCATGTATTGTAAAATCTTGGATGAGAACCTCCTTCCCTCAGCCAGAACACTGAAGATGGGTCGTGGATGGGTCTTTCAGCATGACAATGGCCCAAAACATACCGCCAAGGCAACAAAGCAGTGGCTCAAGAAGAAACACATTAAGGTCATGGAGTGGCTTAGCCATCTCCAGACCTTAATCCTATAGAACATTTATGGAGGGAGCTGAAACTTCGAGTTGCCAAGCGACAGCCAAGAAAACATTAGGATTTAGAGAAGATTTGTAAAGAAGAGTGGACCAAAACCCCTCCTGAGATGTGTGCAAACCTGGTAACCAACTGCAAGAAACGTCTTACCTCTGTGCTTGCCAACAAGGGTTTCTCCACCAAGTACTAAGTCATGTTTTGCTTGGGGATCAGATACTTATTTTACTCACTGAACTACAACTCAATTTATAACATTTGTATCATGTGTTTTTTTCTGGATATGTGGTTGATATTCTGTCTCTATCATTTAAAATACACCTATGATAAAAATTATAGACCTTTCTTTTCTTTGTAAGTGGGAAACTTGCACAATCTGCAGGGGATCAAATATTCTCCACACTGTAAAGCGCAGCATTGGGCTTTACATAATGAAAGTTGCAGCCATGACTGTCCCGGAGTGACCTTTCTCAGAACTGTCAGGGCTGTAGGATGAAAGAAAAAACCCAAAACTTATAATGCTATTGGCAAGTGGCTCTTGCCAACAACCTTTGAACGGTGTTCAGCAACAGGTGCTGCAAGGAGCTCCACATGCAGACAGTTCTGGAGTGAGTGTCTTTAGAGCTACCTGTAAACAGTGAAACTCAGCAGCTGAATTACATACAGTATGCAACTGTGCTGTTACAACTGCATTAATACAGGTATAATCATTTTACATAGGAAGAATAGCAATTTGACATCTCAAATACAAAACGTTTAAAACAATTTCCAAGATAAGACTTCCCGTTTGAAACTTAAGGTCTAAGTTTTTCATTCCATATGTAGTCATATTCTGTGTTCTGGTAAGAATTATTTCAGAAAAAAGTGTTTTACCTTCTTTTTTAGTTGCATTGGGAATTAAAATATGTATTTGTGGTATCTAGTAATCTACCCTGCTCTATTGTAAATATCAAAATATGTTTTTTTCTTCTCTGTACTGAGATAATATGAATTTGCCATTGCTAACCCCTGCTTCTGAGAATACTAGCTTCCTCAGCTTGCAGCTATGTACTGTCTAAAGTGCTTAAAGTTGCTGTTGCTAGGCATATGTCTTATTTTTAGCAGTTGCACACCTGAAATCAACTAGCACACATTCATGTGGATCAGTTTGTATTTTTACCAGGTAATCTGCGAGTTCCTGTTTATGACTTCTGCATCTGCTATTGTGAATGTTGAACCTGGGTTCTTGTTTATAGCTTCTGCATCTGTTATGAATAGCACTTGGCTTTTTATGAAATCTGCTACTTTTGGACCATTTTTAGTTTCTGTTTTCTGCCTGCTCTGACCTTCTGCTTGTTTATTGACATTTTTCTATATCCTTCATGCTAGTCCTCACCTGTAGCCTGTGTTGAACTTATGTCTGCATAATGATTTGGTACTTTGTTCTGGTCCAGTGTTGGCTGTCAGTTGTTAGGCCCTTTGCAATACTGAGAGTTGCACTCTAGTGTCTGCCTGCACTAGAACGAGGGTTAGAAATGGCAACTATTTCTATAAGTACAGATTTCCATTAACACTTGGGGAAATTTAAATTAAAAGGAATGCTGATTAAAAAAATTAAAATAAAAGCATGCATTAAAAAATGTACAAGGAAGTATAAACAAACTTGTTACCTTTTGTATCTTATATTCAAAAGTGAATACACAGCCCCGCCAACACATAATGGGTATAATAAGTATGACAAATATTTCATTGCCTAAAAAAGGGAAAAAAAAACATTACTGTGTATATAAGTCAAAGACAACAGTAATTTTTATATAATATATTTGTCATGTATAAATGAAGATGCAAGTGCTGCTTCAATGCCAGGTTCTGCACTGAAAGGGAGCTTCAGCTGTAACAATTAACAGCTGTACCGACATGTACACTCTTATGAGCCATTTTTGAAACCAAGAAAGTTCTTAATAGGAATGGGAGTGTTCAACACTCCAATACATCATGCTAACTAAAAGCATGGTATACATGGAGAAACACACTAATTTTAAAAAAGAACTCGAGGAAAGAAATGTATTAAAAGGAGAACTATGGGGTTAAGGCTTTTCCCCATAGTTCTCCTTAGGGTTACGGGAGGACACAAACTAGCGTCCTCCCGTCACCCTAAGCTCAGTATACCGTGAGCTACAGCTCGTGGTATACTGAGACGCCGCAGCTGAAGCGGATCACGACAATTATGTCTGGATCCGCCCAGCTGCGTAAGTGACAGCTGGCTCTGCCTATCTAGAGGCAGAGCCAGCTGTACCCGCCCCCTCCCCCGTCCGTGCCGCCAGTCAGCGCTGGAGGATCGGAGCGGGGAGGGGGGAATCCAGCCACTCCACTGTCACGGCAGAGAGCTGCGACAGGATCGAGAAGTGAGCGAACGCCGGTATGTGTTCGCTCACTTCCCGATCTACTGAGCCGACCTGCGACAGTCTCATTGTCACAGTTCGGCTAGAACTATGAGGTGAGTGAAAAGCACTCACCTCATAGTTCTCCTTTAAGTGCTCATTTTTGTCTAGGTTTGTCTAGCCCCAAGCGGCTAGCTGTCACAGAGCTCCCTCCAGCCTCTCTCCTTCTACGCTGCAGCATTGGAATGTTTGTCAGTGTCCTCATGTCTATACACACTGTATAGAACGTGGTGATTTATGGGACCTTAGACATCTGCAGAGAAGGAATAGAGAGGCTGGAAAAAATGGTCTAAGAACAAGCCGGCTCTGCGGTTCAGGCATGTATAACTTTTTTAACCTAGACAAAAGTGAGCAGTTAAACCTTTTTCCTTGAGTTCTTCTTTAAAAGCTGAACTATGGGGGATAACAAGATTTACCCTTGCAGCGAGTCTCCCCTTCCCACTTCAGTGAGATTGAGCACCTTATTCCTCACTCTCAAAAGCTTCCTCCTCATCATGCAAGCGTTCTCCAAAGCCTCGTCCCTTCACTGCCCAAATGGTCGCAGTTCTCTGACATCATCCTGCATCCAGCAGTCCTGCATTGTACCGGAGAATGCCGAGGGCCTGCTCACATTCCAGAGCATTGCACTTACAAAATCTGCAGCAAATAATAATTTTCTTCACTGTAATGCTAAAAGCGGACTTTCTAAAACGCTACACCAAACCCAACCTAAAGAAAAAAAAAAATTCCACAAGCACAAATTTTGCTTAGTGCATTTTCCAGGTTTTTGTTTGCTTTAGTAATAAGTGTACCTTGAGTCTTGAAAAAAAACTTTGCCAAAAGACACCTGCCCTGAGCTATTCCTGACATTAAGATCTGCCTGAACATCTGCCTTTATGTATGTTGCACTATTGTGGCGAATTGGGGCCCTGACCCTGCAGATTAGTAACTCTAGGCTTCGTTTAAAGGAGAACTATGGAGTAACCTTTTTATCCCATAGTTCTCTTTAGGGTCACGGGAGGACATATAGTAACGTCCTCCTGGGGCCCAAAGCTCAGTATATAGCTTGCGATATACTCAGAGTGCCACAGCTGGGACGGATCCTGACAATACTGTCGAAATCCACCCAGCTTGCTGATTGACAGCGGGCCCTGCCTATCTAGGAGGCAGAGCCAGCTTTGCCAGCCCCCTCCCCCGCCCGTTTCTCCAGTGAGCACTGGGAGGATCGGAGAGGGGAAATCCCTGTGGGGGGCGGCGACTGACAGTCACCGCTCTCTGAAGGGAGATGATCAGAAAGTGAGCAAGCTATGTTATGTGTTCACTCACTTCCCGATCAATAGAACCGATGTGCGACAGTTTAATTGTCGCACGTCAGCTCTAACTAGGAGGGTTGGTAAAAAAAATAAAAATAAAATCACACACATCATAGGTTCTCCTTTACCTGCCGGCAACCATTTGAAGCCATGATTGCGGTAGGAGTGCAAGGGGAATATGGTTGCTGTCAAAGAGTCATATTTAGGCACTAGTCAGTCAGTGGTGGTTCCTGATGATACATCCCAACCTGAAAGAAACACCTGGACCCTACCCATGCTGCGTTTGGCTGTCTGGACAGAAGCCCAAAGAAGCTGATATGTTAGGTACATCAAGTGTGAGACAGAGACACTGGCTGACAGTGCTGTGGACAGTACATGTCTCACCTACAAATAGTGAAGGGCTCCGGGGTTTGAGAATACAAACATTTTGTTTTCACAGAATCTTAATAAGCCCTGTCCTGGGTTCTGAAGTTCAGAGGCTTTTTAGAGCTGTGAGTGGGACAAGTCCCTATTCCTAGGTCTGCATCTTACCTGGTTGCCAGACCTGATTAATTAGTCTCAGCTATCCACAGCCCTTGTTATATGTGAGCAGACTTATGCTCTCACACTTTGCTGTGAGAGCCTGCTGATGGACAAAAAAGCCTGACTGCTGACAGAACAGAAGGTACACAAAGGAGCCCACTACTTGTTAAGTTAGGTACTGACATGGGCTTAGTTAGTGGCTTGGAAGAATTGATGTGTTGTTTGTGTTATGGACTTTTTGTAGAAAGCCGTCCTTCATTGAACTTGTCTGTCTGCTGCCTTGCTAAATAAAAGTGGAGGAAAAAAACCTGAACAAACTATTCCTGTGCGTTCCTGTCTAATTCAATGTTTACTACTACTAAACAGGACGAGATACATCTTCACTAAAACTTGCCAGCAACTGTTTGGCTTTTATTTTAAATATGGGGTTCTCAAATTTACAGAAGTCAAATAAGCAGTTCACTTTAACCTACCCCCATGACAGCAGCCATAAAGACCATTTTCTCCACCCCCCCCTTCCAAAAACAGTAATACAGTACATACAAATCTCTGTGCACCATATAAATGCTCCAGATTTTTACTTTTGAGGGTACACAGTAATCTTTGCAAACCTAATGTTATGTAGGCATTCGCAACTTCAGGTCAAAATGTTTAGGGACAGGGTCAAAAGTAGACGGATTTTTTTACACTACTTCATGCGATGGAGAGGAGGGAGAAGGTAAGATTAAGGCTGCTTTTGGTGCTTCTACTAGTCCTGGGACCGAAAAGTCATATAATGAAAAGCACAGGTTTTGCATCCAAGTGGCTGGAATGGGCTACAACACTGTCCATATAAATGACAATGTCTGAGAGAAGAAGCTCATGGGTAGAACAATCAAGCCACCAGTGGAATTTTACCACGGTGACCTGGCACCTGGGATTTGCCTAACCTTAAGGACAGGTTTCAGTAGCATGATTGTAGTACATCTTATTAATTTTCACTGAAGTGTTCTGTTAAATTAGGGCATAATATCCCCCAATAATTGTAAGAGAACAGAAAAAAATTGTTGAAATATACATGTATGCAAATAAAAGATAATAGTACCTGAGTATCATATTCTTCAGTTTTCTTTTCAGATTCACTGCAGGTCCCAAACTATGAAAAATAAAGGAAGTATGAATAGAAGAAAACAACTAAAGTGCAACTAGTGGTTTGAAAAGACCAGGGAAGGATCAGGCTGCTATTGCTAGATCCAAAAGAAAAAGGTCAAATGCACAATCTTCAGCTGGTTTTATTGTGACACCTAATACATACGGTATGTCAGGCCACCATTTTTGCAATAAACACAGCTGGAGCAGAACATTGTGTGGCTTCATCCTACTTTTGAAACTTGCTTGAATTCAGCGCTTTCCACACTGCCTGTATGACTTTGCAAAGGGGCTCATATGTTGATTATCTTTGGTGCCCTATTTAGGAGATTTCCTGTCATTTCATGAGGTCACGAGCATGCGTGTCAGAGTATCACAGGGACAGAAAGTGAGAAGAAATCTCATCAATGGTGTCACAGATAACAGAGACCAAACAGATTCAAACTACTCACTACTTCAAACAGGAAAAAAAGGATTTTGTATTAACTGTAAACTGAATCTCTTAGAATTTATTGAGGAACACAGGAAGCCATTTACTGCTGTGTTATACTGCTGCCTACATGAGGACTGAACACTGGCAAACAAAAAAATCTGTAGTCATGACAAGGATAACCCCTCCTCTACCCAGCATGCCTCAGTTTGTAGCAAGCAGTATGATCATAAAAAGGGGGATGGGACCATTGTCCTCAATGGACTCCAAGAAAAGGATTTTAAAGGTAAATACAAATAACCCTTTTTTCTTTCTGAACCATTGTGAGAACATTGTAACACATAAAGTTATATACTACAGGGATGTCCAACTAAGGGGTAGGCAAAACAGAAACAAAGTTCTAACAAGCCCAACAAAAAACAAACTGGGGACTGCTTGATAAGGGGACCTGCCAACACGACCAGAGTGAGGACACGGAGAATCAACTGATGCCCAAGACCAAAAAAATAAACAATAAAAAAACAGTCGCCAACCAAAAAGAGGAAGAACTCAACAAAGAATGGAGCACTGAAGCATTGACCAAGCAAGAAGCTTGGACGCTTGGCAACCGGAACCCACCAAACGGTTCAACAAATAATAAATTCCCAATAGGGAAGAAAATGACTAGCTACCCAACATGGTTAACAAGGAAAGGGATCAAGTCTCATGTAGGAACTGGAACCTGACAAGGAACATGCTTGTAAAAGGAAGCCTAGCAGGTCTAAAATGGGCCCTAAGCCTCTAGACCACTTGAAACTCTAAGGGTCAAGATACGACAACTCCGTATCTCAAGAAATTGAAGGAACAGACAACCACATTGCCAAGGTGAGGCTTACCAGGTAAGAACCTGCGGTACCATCCACAACAGGAACCAGACTACCCCTCCTGGCGAGGAAAGGACTCCAGTTCTTTCTCACATGTAAAGACACTTGTACCTACATGGTGTCTGAACCAGGATGCCTGACCAAAGAAGAATCCTGCGATATAGTAAAAATCACCTGCTCTACAAATCCAGAATGCAGCCCTAGGGGCAATAATTATCTGATGAAAGGACCCAATTAGAGAAGGGGAGAAAGAGTCTTTATCAGCTGTCTGATGGGGAGGCTGTGTAGTCAGGCCAGGAACTACCCGAAATTTAGAGGCGGACACTTAAGTCTGCTCAGAAACAAAACCACAAAACAGCAGAGTAAAGGGCTGAGATAGAAATAAAAGAGATGGGAGAAGGTGAAGTACCTGAGAGGGTTGTCCCTAAACACCTGACACTCCTGCAAGGGTTGAAAGATAGGTAGACCCCTGGCTAATGGGGGCAGCATGAGGCCAAACATGTTTTGGCCTTCCCTACCTAAAAATCATGCTGGTTAATGCTGCCTACAGATGACAGACCTTTCCCAATTCCAATACTTTATGAAACTAGACCTTACCCTAGGGCCCACAGCGATTGTTTTCATAAGAGTAATGGATAAAAGATCGTCAGCACTCACGAGGTTCAAAGTGTAAATTACTTCTTTATTGAACATGCGTCGTCAGTACCAAAGTTTTGGAGCCACGCAGGGTCCCTTCATCAGGGAGACATGGTGACTGGTCACTGACACCCTGATGAAGGGACCTTGCGCAGTTCCCAAAGGTTGGCTTTGATGACGCATGTTTAAGTACAGAAATTTTCACTTTGAACCTTCTGGGTGCTTGGGGTCTTCTGTCCATTACTTTGAGATTACACATCCATCTTATCACTGCGAGCACCACTATTGTTCGCGATTAGAACGTTGTATGGAGTGCAGGTGATCTACAACACTACATGTTTTCATAAGCGGTCTTCTGGGTGTCCCCAATGGGAATGCCATGAGAAAGTACTACGGCAGACACTGCAACCAAAACCCTAGGAGTACTAGATGTGCAGAGGCGAAACTGAAGACTCAGAGCCCTGGTAGGTTGGAGAACAACCATTGCTGACCCCAGTTGACCGAACAGGTCAAAATTCACTCTAGGGAAGAAGGATGATGACACTGATGGGTAAAAGGTACCATTAGTGTTCATACATACCCCAAGGGACAAGATATGTTAAGAGGGATAGGATGGCACAACTGAAGACTTCTCTGAAGGCTTAGTGGGTTTCTTGCTTCCAGCATTGTGGCCTGCTGGAGAACCAACCTAAAAGGCAGCTAGCGCTCAATTTCCCCATCCTTGCAAATTATTGTATTTAGACAGTCGACACCCAAGGCTGCCTTAACATACCTGATGTATGCAGTCACGCTTTGGCCAACAATTTTCATTTTGTAATTGAATTTTGTCAAGCCGAGTAGCACCAATAGGGCAACCAACTGCTCAAATCTCAGCTGATTCTGCAGGACTGAGACGAAATTTAAGCTGTGTATAGCTAATATTAGAAGATCTGGGTGTGTCAACTCCAGGAGTAGGTGAAAGAGAAGGATGGGGAAACCTCAGTCAATCTTTCCTTGGACCTTTCCTGAGGCAGGTGAACGCTCTGACCTCCAGTAATATCCTTGATGAGGATGTCAAGAGTAGAATAGACCACATTCCTCAAAGGACAGCAAGTCAGGATATCCTTGGAAATTGCATTTTCCCTCTAAACACCTTAACCAGAGTGCTCTGCGCATTTTGATGGATAACAGACCCATACAGTACACAAGTTTAGATGCTTCTAGCAAGCCATCACAACTGAAGTGTAGGGCTCCTGACATCTGCTCCGCACACACTATCAGCAAGTGGTCCACCGCTGCGGTGGAGAGATCTCTCTCAAGGGAATTAAAGCCATACTCCAGGGAAAATTATTTTAAACTCTTCCAGTGGGGCTACCCCATACACTGCAAGGGTTAACTGCTTGTTATGGTCTAGGGCTAAAAATAAAGTTATGCTCACCCGATCCTCCAAGCCTCCCAGCAGCATCTCCTCCAATGCTGCAGCAATGGAATGTCCCTGTTGCATCCTTATGTTCTATACACTGTGTAAAGAATGTGATGATTTACAGTACCTTAGACTGCTGCAGCTAAGGTGGAGAGAGAGTCCAGGGACTTGGAGCAAGTCAGCGCAGAGGATATGGTGAGTATAACTTTTTTGTATTCCTCCCTAGACACAAAAGGGAACTTAACCCTTGCAGTGCACGGATAGCCCCACTGCAAGTGTTATTAGTTTTCCCAGTTCTTCTTCTTTAACCCATTCATGCACAGGTTGACAGTTTAGGGGTAACAGCCAGATCAGGGTGAAGGGGAGTGCCCACCAGCAAAAGTCGGCACTGCCCATCAGTGGGATCCTTAAAAGTAAACAAGCCCTCTACTGGCCAAGTGGATTTCCTGTTAGGGTGGGTCACTGGCAGATACAAAGTGGGTATAGACCACAGCTTTACCAAATCCCTCCCCTCTAGTAGGGACCCCCACCAAAGATGTAGACTGTATGACTATAGGGTAGCAGGATTCCAGACACTATTGCCCTCAGAAAGCACAGAGCAAATGTCCCTGAAATTGTTAGGAAAGCATGCTCCCTTTGAGTCAAAATACAGACATGTTGCGGCCACGTCTGCTGCAGGGAAACTGGTAATTTTAGTGACGTTTTCGTCGAGAATTTGCTAAAAACTGAAGTATGCTGGGTGTAGGAAAGGTCAAACTTGGCTGGACTACAGATTTTTTTCTTTGCAAGTGTCCAATCCTCCTGTATGCCCAAAGTATACGAGTTCCTGTGTCCCTCAATGGACAAGAAAAAAAAAAAAAGTTTAGGTTGGAGCTGAGCTTCAAATATAGCAGATGGCAAAATCAAATGCAAGATCTTCTCACCTTGATTACAGGAATTATACCTCTGAACTGGAAGGTTATTTTCAATGCCTTCTTGACTTTCCAGACCTGAAGAATAAAAAAAGACAGAAGTGTTTTCACCCCAAACGAAATTAATGAGAATGATCAACTAATTTAATGGATTACAATAAACTATTACTGGTGATTCATGTCCTGACAATATTCCTTGACACCCGCAACAGATTGTCCCCTCCAGCCCATTGCAGGGGTCCATTGTAGTAGGATTTTAAGTGCCCAGCTTTCCTATGAGGCAGCAATGAGGCATGGTGACATTACCAGTGCCTCCCAGAAACGTCAGAAATCAAGAAAACTATAATTTGCAGCAGATATGGGTGCATTTATTTTTCATAGGTTTGATTTAAGTTTGTCTATAGCCAAGGCTTTTTTTAACCTTTTTGTTTTAGATAGGAACAGGGGATTTTTAAAATCCCAGTCAGGTTTTTCTGCGGTTTGTGTCCCTTTGGGGAGATAATTCTTCACTTTCCGTTGCTGTTCCAGCCATGCAAAAATTTGGATTGTATCTACCTTTTAGTCCTGGTGATAATGGTCATGAAGACAAATTGAGAGGGTGAAGATCCCCAGTGGGGACACAGATCGTAATAAAAATCTGACTGGGGTTCTAATCTTTCCTTACTTTATTTAAAAGCTTGCGTTTAAATATACTAAGTACAAATATGGAAAAAAAAATATTCTCTCAAATTTTTCTAACTTAATAGACACACACAGGCACTATAATATATTTATAATCAGGAAAGGAAATATCATTACATAAGGAAAGGGGAAATCATCCAGGGGCGATATATTTCCCCTGGATTTCTCTCCTATATGCAAAACCAGTCCAGACCGGGTTTTCAGGATGACTTTGGGTCTGTGTAATCCAGATTGGATTTTGTGTCTCACCTGTGACTGACTAGCCAGGCACGAGATAAAAGGGGTAGGCTGGAGCAAGATGGTGCTCTGGCCTGGGAGCTGCACTTTGGAAAATCAACTTTGTGAGTAAAAGGTTGCTGGAAATGCTTTTGTTTTGTTAGGTGGCTGGGAGAAGCTCACCACCTGTTAGAGAGGAACATCTGTCTGTTTAGTTAGTTTCACCTTGCACACTTTTAGTAAAACTGACTGCAAGTTAGATTTTAAAGAACTTTACTGCCTGAACTTCCTTTTTCAATGCACAAAAACATAGGAGCTGGGGTGGGGATTTTGTGCATAAGGGAGTCATTTAGCCTTGTTCCCACATCGGAGGTATGGCTTTTAGGCCACAAGGCAGCAGAAAAATGGCAGCAGGTGCTCTGGACTGATGAGTCTAAATTTTAAAATATTTGCACATAGCAGGAGGCAGTTTGTTCGTTGAAGGGCTGGAGAGCGGAACAATAAATGAGTGTCTGTAGCAACAGTGAAGTATGGCGGAGGTTCTTCGCAAGTCTAGGGCTGCATTTCTGCAAATGGAGTTGGGAGATTTGGTCAGGATCGATGGTGTCCTCAACACTGAGATATACAAGCAGGTATTTATCCATCATGCCATACCATCAGGGAGGCATTTGATTTGCCCCACATTTATTCTGCAGTAAGTCAACAACCCCACACATACAGCCAATGTCATTAAGAACTATCTTCAGAGTAAAAATGAACAAGGAGTTCTGGAAGTCATGATTTGGCCCCAACAGAGCTTGATCTCAACATTATAGAGTCTGTCTGGGATTACAGGAAGAGACAGAAGGATTTGAGGCAGCCGACATCCACAGAAGATCTATGGTAAGTTCTCCAAGATGTTTGAAACAACCTACCTGCAGAGTTCCTTCAGAAATTGTGTGCAAATGTGCCTAGAAGATGGAGAGGACGCCGGTGCTGGACGAGTCACAGCGTGCGTCGGTTTAAATAGTAATCAGTGCATGCTGTGTCCGGCAGATTATAATTTTTTTGTTTCTTTCACTTTTTCTCTTTTTGGTCTTTAATATTTTTGCAGAGCGGGCGACAGAGGCCGTGACTTGAGTGCACACTTCCGCCGCTGGTTAACAGGCAAGGCCCTGCGTTCCACACGGTGCTCTCCTTGGTGGATGGGGCCGGAGCCAGCTGACGGTTCAGCGTCTTGTTGTCAGAAGCCGGACACAGTGCGCGCTGGTTACTATTTAAACCGATGCGCGCTACGACTCATCTGGCACCGACGTCCTTTCGTCACAGACGAGAGGACAAGGTAATTTTCAAGCCCTGAAAATTGCAAGGCTATTACATCACCTGTTATGTGTTTAGATGAAGCGCTGAGATCTTGAGGAACGCTTAAATAAGTTTTACTTGCTTAACAGGACATTACATGGATGTATACAGGAATACAGCAGAGTAGAGAGGAAAACATATATACAGAAAGAACTACCTGTGCATCACAGACAAGCATACATAAGCATAGAGAACAACACTGCACCATATCGACATCTTAGTGCCCAAAAGACATAACAGTACATTAGCATAAGCTGTTGTATTTCAAGCACTATGCAGGTCTTAAATTAGGTAAACACAACCTCAGATGAATAACAAATAATGACATATTATATCCTGTTCTTGTTCATTTTAGAGACGGAGCCAAAATGGAGAAGCAATGTGTGAAAAACTAAGTACACCCTTACTGCTTTCAATTAAGTGGTTAAGTAGCAGACAGGTGCTGCTAATCAAATGCCCTTGATTAACTGATCATCAAAAAACCTCAGATGAACAAAAACACAGCATATGTGGTGTTGTTCATCTGAGGTTGTATTTACCTTGTTTTAAGCCCTGATAAGGACCAAATAATTTTTATTATATCCCGATACTTAAAACTATAGGGGGAAAAAATACATGACACACACACGTGTGTGTGTGTGTCAGCTGGGGGAAAGGCAGCGGGTGCAATTACTCCCTGGGGTGGCCAATCTTGGGAGGCTTAGAGACCAGTCCAGTGACCTTTCAGACAGTGGTGCATTTATTGGTGCATTACATGGGCTATATACAGTGCTCAAACAAAGTCAACAAACATTAAAAACAAAACCCTAGCCATGTCCCGGGACTAACTACACATAAGATAGTCCTGACTATCAGCCCACACAAACCTATTGTTTGTCAGGGCATCACAACATCACAGTGACCAACCTTATGCTCCCCAGGCTCCAGAGCACAGTCTGTTTGCCTCACCTGCACTAAATTGCCATTGAGGCAAGGTGTAAAACCTGGGCTTTATAGAGGTTCCGGAAGGCGTAATAGAGGAATCTGGGCAACACAAAAACCCTGGAAAGTGCCTCTCCTGGCTCTCTACATGACAG